AGCCAAGCTCTTTATTGTACCTCTATATGTTTTACATATATGTTAAAACTAGCTTTAGCAGTTTATCTGTAGTTAGGAATAAAGTTCTAAATTATAAAAAAAAAAAAATAAACATCACATGTAAGACACGAAACCAAGCCACCTGAAAAATGTCAACCAGTGAACAAGACATAAACTATGCGAAGAAGAAGCTAGAAGAGGTGGAGAAGAAGATAGATGGGACCAAGGATGAGGAGAAAGCATACTGGATGAGGCAGGCGGAAGAGTGGGGTAGAACTGTGAGAGCACTGCTGCAGAAACCCAGTGCATTTGCAGGTAAGACTTTGTGACTTGGGCATTGGGAAGATAGAATAGTGTATACATAGGTAGAGCAGACTCTTATTCTGTTTCTTGCTTCTAACCTACCAAAGCTTTTTTCGTAATATTGTACTTTTTTGTTAAGTAGCGAGTTATGATGGTGATATATTTGCGGGTATCAAATGCCCCCCCTCACCTTCCTCTGAAGTTAAACGAACGCAGCACCATAGGATAAAGTATGTAGGTGACTATGAGCATGAAATCGGGTCACCATCATCCGTAGGAGAGCCATCGGTCTTCTTCAAGAAGCAAACACATTTGAGAAGGAAGTTTATCCTCTGTGGCCGTCCTGCTGAAGCTGCTCCCATGCCTGTATCTTTACTAAACCCCATATTCGGCCAATTCCTAACTGATATTCGGAGCTATCAGCCTACAGTAGATGATATTAGACTTGTAGATGAGTTACTAGTTTTGATGTCACAGAGGTATATTGACGAGATGTCGCATGCAGCTGACTTCCGCTCTGCTTTACAAAATCATTACAATATCCAACTCATCGCGGGACCCGTCCACAAAACTGGCTATAATACAGATGGCCATCTCACTGTTAATGACTGTTTCTACCTTATCACAGAGTGTAAAAATGAAATAGGATCTACCTGCAGTGACCCATTTCTTCAGTCTGTAGCTTACTACTATTACTCTATAGTTGAAAATGGACCACGCTTTCCACAATCTAATCTACCTTGTTTGTACCTATGTTATGCTGGTAAGTTTATAAGTTGACGTTCTCTAAGAGCAATCTTTTACTCGTGGCAAGACTTTGACCTATAAATGTTACCTTCTTAACAGGTATGACTTTTGGCTTTGCAGGTTTCATACTCACTGATGATGACATCCATATGGAGCATTTAGGTGACCAATTCACAATGATGTCAGCATGGGGTGATCAAGACAAAAAGAATAGGTTAGCCTGCTACTTCAGTGCTTTTAGGCGAGCCATAAACAGTCTAAAGTTCTACTATGAAACCAATATCATACCCACTGATCAAACTAAAACTGATATCATGGGCCTACCAGATCCATCATTCCCATATGTATGCCAATACAAATCATCTGAAGGTGTCACTGTCCACTTCAAGTACAAAGTCCAGCCTTTTCCACATAGGCTGATATTTATTGGAGAAACACTCAAGGGAAATGACCAAATATTTGTCAAGTACACCCAGACATATTCAGCAGAAGCTCATGAGGTTTGCACTAGTCTGGGCTATGCACCAAAGTTACATGCTTGTGAGAAGATTAATGATAACTGGTATATGGTTGTGATGGACCATATTGATACTACTATATACAGACCATACTCAGCTCAAATTATGAATAGTGGCATTGCTTTTCCATCTGCTAAGCTGCTTGGACCCAAAGTCAAACAGGCCATTGATGCTCTTCACCAGGTTGATCTGGTTCATGGTGATCTGCGGGACACAAATATCTTGGTAAGAACTGATGGTAATATCAATTTCCTGCTAGTTGATTTTGACTGGTCTGGGAGGGCTGGTATAGCACGCTACCCAGTAAATGTCAATCATACTGACATCCACAGACCACAGGAAGCACAATATGGGAATATCATCAAAAAGGATCATGATATCTTTATGTTCAATCGTATATTTCCAGAGATGATCAATGACTTAAACTATTAGTAGAACAGATGAGCAGACATCCCAATTAGTGTATTGCTTATCTGCCCTGTGCAATGTGCACGAGCAACCTGTCCTTGGTATGATGTCACTTCAACTACAACTTAGATATCCACAATAGATATAACTCTAGCATACTTATCAGACATGAACATTGTAGCAGTTAATTACATTTAATAAAAATTGGCCATTACACTATAATGATAATGTAAATAAAACAAATAAAATCTTAACATTGCTTCAAATTCCACTGCTTATATGCACACTGTGCCCAGTTGATGCAGCTGACTAGGCACAACAAAACTTACCTAGTTGCTTTGTTAATTGGCTATTTGGATAGCAAGTTTTAACACTTATTATAACCAAGTTAAATGTAGAGTAAAAAATCTAAACTTGATAAAATTAATATATAGGATTATCCGTATATGAAAAATTATAATTATACTGGTTCGATTGAATATGAAAAAGCAATACGTTTCTTGGAGATAGGTTGCAATTGTGGTTGCTCAAAAAAGATTCCGAGAGAAATTTTTGCCGAATTGCATGAAGCGTTTCAAGATCCGAACAAGACATATTTTTAATGGCCCACTGAAAGCAATGAATGGTGAAGAAATATACCGCCAGCCGACGTCTTTAAAGGAAAACACGTACTAATAAGAGAACATTTTATTGCTAAGATCGCAATACGCCTCTTTGTCAGAAAACAATACTGAATATGTTAGGAATCGGTCGAGCTTACTTCGAAACCGTCAGAAATCATTTGGCGACAAATGGTATAATACCGCGATGAAAAACCAAAATAACCATTGATATAACTGTTGCTACTGCCGTAAAGAATTTTCTCGAAAACTATATGGATTACCAAGTCCCGGTAGAAATGTCAATCGCATTACTCAATCGCTTACACTATTGCCTGCCGAAACGCTACCGTGATTTTATTGCAGGTCTCGAAAATGATAGCACACTGAAACTGTTAAAATATGATGCGCTCCGTAAGTTATGGCACCAATTAACGCGCCGTATATTCAAATTATGAGTCCGAGAACGGATTTATGCGTCAACATTTTCGGAACGGTTACAGTACAATGCTCGCAAGGGAAAAAAAGCAAAAGACTTACTAAAAAAATTCAAAGAACATTTAGTTAAGGCTAAATTTGAGAGAAATTATTACAACAAAAATACGAAATTAGCAGAACAACGGAGAAAATTGGTAGATGAGCATTTTATAACAAGAGGTAAAGCTGATTATTGTAGCGTTGATGCTACTGCTCATTACAGTTACGATTGAGCGCAAAATGTTCCCGATATGACCTGGAACTTCAAGATACATGTTTAGATATTTTATTATGTCTTAATGCTTTTTCTTCGTATGTAATATTTACCGGTTTATTTCACCGACAATCATTTCACCGACAGTACGTTTCGCCGACATAAATTTCATCGAAAACCAAGTGCGATAAACCATGTGTCACGTGAAATGATCGGTGAAATAAACCCGGTAAAGTGTAATTAACAGCACAATTCGATCGGGCTAGCATTCTTATTTCACTTAGTTAGTTATACTGTACAATACTATAAAGTGCGACGTGAAAGCTCGTAATCTCTTTGGGAGACTATCTCTATACCTAACGATGGTATTGTTGATGTCAATGAAAAAATGCCCAATGATGACAATGCAATTAAAGCAATCACTCAATAGCAGAGAGTAGTAGTATGAAGAATTATTTCTCATAGTAAAAGCATTAAATAATAATAAAGTCTGTGTTCTTAGTCGGTCAAATAACGTGAATTGATCTTCATTCAAAGCCGTGTCGGTTTAAGAGAGTGATACTCTAGATAGACATCTACAAGGATTGTGTAATAATAACACAGACAGATATAACAGATTTTCCGTCAATAGTGTAAAATTTTATATCCAAGCTGAGTCTACGGTTGCTTTTTCAGTAAAGAACGCTTGGCCGGCTTGGCTGGTTGGATGTCAGGTTTTGGGTATCGGCATAGCGCATACATCAGTCATATTTAAAGTTTACTAAAGAAAACAGTGTACTGTGAGGCATACGAAAGGAAACGTGCAAAAATGCATGACATAATGATCGCTGAGATGTATTAAACAACGGCAAGACTGATACGTTATTCGTGGCAATTTAACCGAACGGACATCAGCCTAATACTAAGAATTGTGTTTATATTAATATGTAATGCACTGGGTATCGAGAAGCTTCGACCACTGGTTCCTTCACAAGCATAAAACCTCGTCCATTACGTGGAATTGATAAAATTCTCTAACAATATGCAGAAAGTAACATTCTATCAAATTCAACTAGTGGCGCAAAAGTAAGGAACCAGATATGTCTTAGCCGAAATCAAAGCAGGGACGGAAGGTTCAACAAATGATCAGTAAACTAGGCTTTGAATGACCAATAACCACAGAAGTAGCATTAACGTTGTAATATGTGGAGTAGTCGAAGAAAACTTTATTACAATTACGCTGCTAAGTCTTGAGGTAATTGTTTTCATCGTCAGCAAAACAAATGAAATTGATTACTTGTGAAATATCGATTCTCCATTCTTACTCGCTCCGAAAACTAAAAAGGACACTGACTTTTGTTACAGAGATGGGATATGACTCACCTTCAATTAGAAAACCATCAGACATGCATGTTGACTATATGAAGTTAATTATAGTATTGAACATAATAAAATAAACAATAGAAGAGTTTTTTAATCAGCTGTGATGTCTGTTAATCAATTATGTGCAGCTAATAAAATGCTAACCTTCCAATAATATGAGTTATATACTCTACTTGTACTTGTGTTGCAATTGAAAGTGTCAGCAACTGTGACAACAAATTACAGTTGCTGAGTTGAATGGATAAATAATTGAATAAAGTTCTTAAAGAAAACTACAAGTCCTATTTGTTATCATTAGTAGTTATTCATTATGACATTCCTTGTCATAATGCCTTCAAGAATGTTTAGACAGGTATCAAAGCTTAAAAGTTTATTTAATAGTGTCGTGCCGACTACTGCGGGAGAGCAGAAAATAATCGACACTTGGGATTTAACTAGTCTCGACGGAGCGTGGCGCCTCCTATTCAAGTTAAATATCTAAAGGTACAGTTAGTGACCTTGTCAATTCAAGGCTTTTCACTTATGGACTTTTTCACCGTAGAATGACGTTTTATCCTGGATATAGAATCGCTCTCGAGTGTATCGGCGGTTATTATCGAGGGATTAATCCGATAATCTCCCGTTTGGGGTACAATGGTTTATCACTTAGATTGAACGCGTTCGAAAACTAACGATTAAATATCCTAACTCGCCACTCAGGTAATTGCGGGACAAGAGGCAATTATCCTTCGTTGATATACGGATATAACGTTTGCGTTTGCACCGCTGCTTCAGTGGTGCTGTACAACCGTACTATAAATTCCCGTACGACTTACACCACTGTCCGCAGCTGCGCTGGTGTAACTGCTGATTGAAATGTTTCGTCGGAGGAACGCAGAAATAAGGAGAAAATACGTCACCGATTGCGGCGCATCACAGTAGACCATTCAGAAAGTGATAAGTCTGTTAAGAAAATAATAGGAATACCAACAATTATCAATTTACTGCTACCTGCAACAAATAAATTGCTAAACAGCTTTATTATTATCTTATAATCCAGTGATAAAAATTTTTATTCTAATTTGGTTCTTTTTTTTACCTGATAAATTTCAGCCAACTCTTGGATCTTTCTTTTTAACTTGGATTTATCATTGTATTTAAAAAAATAAACTTTGTTTTGTGCCTTAATATACCCTTGCTCAGCTGCTTTATGATATAACTCAATAGCTTTCTGCTCATCTTGTTCCACTCCAACTCCCTTCTCATAGCACCAACCAAGATTATATTGTCCATATGCATGTTTTTGTTCAGCTGCTTTCTGGAACAATTCAATAGCCTTTTGAATATCTCTTTCTACACCAATTCCATTTTTGTAACATAAACCAAGACTAACATATGCAAACTCATTTTCTTGCTTGACTGCTTCTTGATACAGTTCAACTGCTTTTTGAACATTTTTATCTACACCTATTCCATTTTCAAAACACCAACCAAG